CCCGCGGGCTCAGGCAATCCACTCACCTCAGCCTCCCGAAGGCATGGGATTACAGGCTGAACCACTGAGCCCGGCTCCAAAACCCTCTTTAGCCCCAACCAGCCCAGGCAGTTCCTCTGTCTCCTAAGACCAAAACTTGCCCCAGCCATGGTGGTACGGACCAGGATCTGGACTTTCGGACTTTAGATGTGGAAGGTCTTTCCAGAAAGCTGTCCAACCGCATAAGCCTCTCCAAGTGTAGTGCACGAGGGTCCTGTTCTTGGTCGTGAGAGAATTCCATCTCAAAGACAGCTGGAGGGGATACGTCCAACTCCAAAAACATTATATTTTCAGCCTGTGGTGGAAACATCATGCCAGACATGAGCAGTGGGCCCCAAAGACTGTACATTCTAGGCACTCAGTAAATTTTGGTTGTAGCAAGGGTGATGGGATGGTCAGAGGAGGCAGAGGCTGCAGGCATTCCCTCCCAGCTTCTTCCCAGCTTCTTACCCTGTACCTGGGGTGGGACCCCATCGCCATGGCAACCCTAGCGTACTGGCTGATAGGCCTCTTGTAGCCCACTGCAGATGTTGGCCGCTTCTTCATTTGGCTGTTGTTCCTGTAGGGAAGAGGCTGGATTAGAATGGATTTCCTTTGAACACAAAGGGCAAATGATAGCATGAGGAATGATGTGTCACTCAGGTAAGCCAGGAGGCCCTACTGACTGCAGGTTCTGGAATTTTCTTCTCCTTGTTATAATACAGCTGACAATGGAACCTAGGATCCCCTTATCTGCACTACCCCAAGATAGGGAGTACAGTACAATAAGGTGCTTTGTGAGAGAGAACACATTCATATAACTTTTATTACAGTATATAGTCATAATTTTTTTTCTAATAGTAGAGACAAGGTCTCACTATGTTGCCCAGACTAGTCTTGAATTCCTGGGCTCAAGTGATCCTCCTGCCTCTGCTTCTAAAAGTTCAAGGATTACAGGCGTGAGCCACTGCGCCTGGCCCATAACTGTTCTACTTTATTATTATTATTATTATTATTATTATTTTGAGTGGGACTCTCACTCTGACACTCAGACTGGAGTGCCGTGGCCGCTCCCGGCCACCGCAGCCTCGACCTGCTGGGCTCCAGCGATCCTTCCGCCCCAG